GCGAAGCGCCGCGCACACCTTCAATTTACATGCGGAATAACCTGCTCCCAGCAGCCGCGGAAAGCAACTTCGAATACATTTTTTCACTTTACGTTTACTTCTAAAAGTTTTCCTCCCTGTCTATCTTATTTCTCCACCCCAAAAAACTCTATGACCACCGTTTTTGCAGGAAAAATTGCTGGGACTAGGGTATATGAGTGGGGCTACATAAGCTACTTTTGCCAAGCACCCGACCTAGGAGTAACTGGTATTTGTTTTAACGGTAGCCGAGGCCGAGATGTCACCGTCTAACCACGCATTGTGTGAGTTCCCAAGAAAGAACACAACAAGAAGGGCACAAAATTAGAAGTCTATTTGTGTACCTAGTACAACAAATTTAAGGTAAACAACGCGTCTACAGCAATGTCCATCGGACCAATCAGATACTGCTCTGAAGCGAGTAGTGACACGATTGGTTTGTGACTCAGCGGCTAGCTTGTCAGATTTTTAGCATAGCTACAGCTTTAAATGTTAAATTATTGATAAATTGACTATCAGTTGCGTTCGCCGCGTGTAGGCCGATCGATAGCTCGCCTCGAGCCTAGCGAATCCAGCGGATACGTAAAACACACGCTTCAGACCCCCCAGCGTGTCAACCAGTCAGCTTTTTTCTCGTTAACTTGACGGTGCAGAGATATAGTCACCAGTCACGATACTCGGGTAAAGGGTCTCCGATTGCGAGACTATAATGAACTGATTTCCAAATGCGTGGGAAGGACCGATGACAATACATTATGGACAGAGGTTTAGTTTACCACCAGGAACATGAGTAACTGTCAAAGCACGGAAAATAGACCTGCAGAAAATGTAATAATCCTCTCGGTGATAGGACTTTACGAGGGCGCAGGGTTGATTGACAACAGCACGGGAGTAGAGAGGGAGCAAAATATTTAGCCAATTAGAAATAATATCGACTTGAATGTAGCGGGATTTCCCTGTTACAGCTGGACCTTCGAATTCCTTTTGATCTTTACGGGGGTGTTACTAATCAAGAGTTTACTTCAACATTGTACAGTACGGCGGGTAAGTCATGCAAAATGCCAATAGTTGCGAGAAATTGATTACCACTCGCAAATCTGCATTAACGCATGTACGAAACCTTAGAAATAATAATTAACAACCTTAGGCAAATTTGGTACTCAAAGGTACTAATTATTTGTTAAAAGAAATTCTCTTAATAATGCTCAAGTTCCGCAGACGAAAAAATTCATATAAATAAGAACAATAAATGTTAATATTATCGTCACTTGAATGGATAACCATACCACTTCCTTTATAACAAAAGAACCTCTTGTTAGTCAAACGCTTTTTATAAACACTTCCGTTATTGGATTGCAATTTATTTAAGGTTATCCTTTAAAGTCCGGTAAAATTTCGAGCATTTCCAGTGTTGTTAAGCTTTCGTTCATAAATCCAGATTCTGCTCGATGTTTTCTATTAAAATCTTTAAAACAAGCTACCTATTAAAACCATTAACGGAAAAAACGATCTTTGGATATTATTTCTTTTGAAGATGGCCATGTGGGCCACATTTAGATATTTCTACAAACACCAATTGTCCAGCAATACGGACGTCCTCAACAGAAGTCTGATATTGTTATTCCTAAGATAAATAAAAAAACTTTCTGCAATAGGAAACCTCTTAAAAAGCACTTAAATTGGATATTTAGCTTACGTATATCTTTGCATTTCACCTCTTTCCTAGGTAATGTCAAAGTGAAAATGGAGAATTTTGACAAGTTTTTTCAGTTTGCCTGAAAATAAAGGATACAATTTTGGCTGGAAATGAAAGAGCTTACTTTTCACTTTATATTGGAATATTTTCCACAATATTTAATTACTTTAAGGCTCCCATTTAAGCTCGCGAATGCAGAAAGAGTGGTCGAATATGTACTAAGATTTTGTGAAAATTGTGAATATATTGTCGGTTCGGTTCATACATTACGCGTATATGGAAATTAAATTGTATAAGGTAGATTTAATAAGATTTAATTTTACCTTCCTCCTTGCGGTAAGATATATTCAGTTTTGGTCACCATCCCAAATTGCTACCACCCAAAAGTAATTTTTAAAACTGAAATTCCGCCTTGATTCTGAAAAAACAATGCAATTCTTTGGACTTGACTTTTTATCAACTCGAGACTAGAGTTTCCGGTTCATGAAAAACTATATTTTAAACTTATCTTATTTATTTTGCGGTTCTTCCATAGCATAATGCATATTAATAAAAAAAGTTGGTTCTTCCGCATTTTTTTCTATATCAGGCAACCTCCGATACCACCAAATTTCACACTATTATTCCTAAATATACTGAACTAAACAGGCAGGTTTCCTTACTTAAACGCTTTTTTCAGGATCAAACCCATTCATTGTATCAAAATAACGTGGCCAAATCTATGCTAAACTACCAAGTCCAAGTTCGTCATGACTTTTGCGTGAATTCCCAGCCATATTGTATGCTCCAGATTCGACACAAACACAGGACCTCCCGAATGGACTCGGCGTCCTTTGACTTGACGTTCAATTCACTAAAGACCGCCTATGTGTCACTGTTTATATTCCCGATCGCAACCAGCAAGACAACGAGCCTGTTGCGCGGTTGTTAGGGCTTCTGACTTACAAGGTCTCGGGTTCGAACCTCGGGTGAAGTACAACTTTGGGCTGGGTATGACTGGTTGATGACGGCTTATTACCCAGAAATTGTCATCCAAGTCTCCCTTGTCTCTGATGGTAATGTCATTCTGCCTATATCATTAGCAGATGCCAGCGGGGCTCGAGAGTGAGCCCTGTAACCGATCGGTGAGCGCCTGTCCGGCATCCAGAACCAACAAGCTGGCGAGCAATACCCTATATTGCTGGCGTATCCGAAGAATTCGCTCGACTGGTCAGCGAATTCAGGATTGGCGTTGCTCACCGACCGGAAGCGACAATCCGCAGGCAACTTATGCAGCCTAAGGACCCAATACCAGTCAACCAGAAATCCAGTGTTATTTACCGAATCGATTGTCTGTGGCGGAACTGGCAAACGGGTTGCCACAAGACTACACGAGCTTGAACCACAGCAGACGCGCCTTCGACCGCGTTCCCACCCGCCGTCATGGCGGCTGAAGTCTGCTAG